GATTCTCCCGCATTTCTTTTAGAATACTCTGTATTCCAGGTCTTTAGGACTTCCAGTGTCTGTGGATCTAACTGGCTGAGGACAATATTGCCAGCATTTTGATTGGTAGCATACACAGCCCACAGACCCATCTCGTCTGCCATAAGGTCAATGTCAGAGAAGCCTCCCCAAGTATAGGGGTAAACATTGTGAAAACCAGCATACTCCAGAGCTCGTTGGGCAAGAATCCTGCCAGTTTCAAAGCTGTACTTGACAATAATGTTACTCTGATACTTGTTATAGTAAAGAGAGCCATTGTAGACCACATGGTTTGTCCCAGCCCATTTGAAAGGAAGGTTGTAGGTCCGAGATTCCACCCCAGTCACAAAGTCTGCAATTGACTTGTACTCACGGACTATTTTGTTGTTGGTGTAACTGTCCATATACCAAACCTATGTCAAGCAAAAAGCAAAAGCTATAAATAGTATTTTGACTCTGATTAACAGTACAGACATGCATTCATTATAACCACCACTAAATATAATATACACTTTAAGATTAAGTACTCTGAATTTAACACATTAGTTACATAATAAAAAATCACATTGCCAAGCTGTCAAGTAGAGTCTAAAAAAAAGGCTACATACACAGTGATAGTGCTTATGCACATTATTAAAATGATTCTCATTTAAAGACTTACTTATAGTCCCGGGACCCCCTTTTTAATATACAAAAGGAAAAAGAGACAATACTGAATATTTCGTACATATTCTTTATTTCTCATAAACATTTAGTACAAAGAAAGAAAACATGGAAATATTTAACTTTAAGTGCACATAAAAAACTCACATAACTTACCCTATTATTTTTTTGAGATGCTTGTGGATCAGTCATCCAAGCGCCAAATCTTGTTCCAGATGTCTTTATTGTAATGGGTCCAGTGATTTTCATTAATTTTCCACATGCTGTTAATAAAGAAACATTTTTTTCTATGAAAATTCTTCAAGCCAATTGCCATTTTCAGGTTTTCCCAATGAAGTCTTACAACAGTATCGAAATACCAATGTTTCAGAAATTATTTTGCAAAGCCTCATTTATGCATCAGTTGTGTACTTCGGACAAATCAAAACTGATTGATCTCAAAACTATGTAAAAAACAACTTCACCATACGCACTAGCAATTACGTTCCAAGACTAAATTGTCCATGTTCTGATATTTCTGGTATATGCTGTTTGACCTCTGTCAATTGCCCAACAGTAATTATCTCTGGACTATCTTTGTAAAAATGTGTATGCCATTGCTTACGTGCTATAGTGGAAAGAGTTTCTTTAAATTCCTGAATGAAAGTATTTGTCTATTGAGCTAAATTATGTCAGATAATAAAAGACAGGTCTTACTTAGTTTTGTCATGCAGTTTCTTAGTCTGGTTTCTAGACCGATTACTCTTTGGTGTAGTTCCTCATAGTCATATGCTCCAATCTCCTCCTGGATTCCAGTAAGTACTGCTGATAGGTTCCTGATCTCCTCTTTGAACTGTGTGATTAACTTGGCATCTGTTTTGTACTGCTCCAAAACTGGGATTAGAGGCTGCAGTTCATCCATCTTTTCCTTAAGCTCCTGTGAAGAGATCGGGGAGTATGACAAGACATGGCTAAATGCAGCTTCCAGACAATGAATATTTTATGTTGTTCATTCATCTGAAATACAACCTGTTCATTTGGCATTGAAATAACAGGAACTATGACAGGAAACCCATAGAAGTCAGAGGAGCAGAATTATCCCCATCTTGCCAAATGTAAGCATGGCTATTATACTTAAGGAGAAATTATAATATTGTTAAATATTATGTACCATTTTAGAATAAAAAAGGTTATTTATATTGTGTACTAATTGCAATTCAGTGAATCTGTTTTGATTTGCTTAAATGTCTTCACTTCATTCACAAATGGCTAATCACCATCTGCTATACAGATAAAGAGTAACAGGTTAAATTTCTATACAAACGTATATATTAGACACATTGATATCTTACCTGGAAATGCTTGGTCATCAATGTTTTTCTGTCATCTTCAACTTGTCGAAATTTGGACCTCAGTCCTTTCATTTGGGTTTCCATTTTTAAAACATATTGAAAATCTCTTTGCGTCCTCAAGTTTAACACCTCTATAGACTGTGACATATTCTGGACCTGTCAAACATTTGATGAAATCAGTTCATCTATTAGAAGCACTTATCTGAGTTGAATTTGTTCAACTCTGATATCTTTATTTCAAAGTAGCACTACATCAATATTTGTACTGTTTTGAAGAGAAGACTTCCTAATACCTCACTGTAAAATAGAAATGCATTAAAGTAAATCTGAAGACTGAATCCCACCCACACATACCTTCCTGATATGATGCATTTTGATTTATCTCTTTATCTGTCATTATTAATGTGCCCTAATTCCAGAAACTCATTTTTTTAGAAATAGGACTCTATGTACATTAAACACACTAATATAGACCACTGGCAGAATGCCAATGTCACTTTAATGACCTTTTAACCATAAAATGTACATTCTAACATCTGTGAATTAATCTTTCTGGTGATTTCTCTCCTTGTGGATTAACAGCTCATGAATTAATCATTACTTATTGCCAAGAAATAGACGGTTGACAGATGTTATGTGATTGTGTATTTATGTTTAATGGTGGGAATAGTTAGAAACAGACCTTACCATCATATGCTTTTCAACATAGCTTTCCATATGGAATACAATCATATACTACATAAACTGTTTAACATAAACACACACATATATATATATACATACAGTATACATACTGCAATCAAAGTGCAAAATGGATCTGCTTTATCTTGTACATCATGTATTGATTGTTCCTCTTGGAGTGTAGTTCTTAATAAAATGGCAGAATTCTCTACATTGTAAATAGACAGCTTTTATGTTAAAGCAATATAATGAAATATGTTGATGGACAGGCCTTTAGAACAGGGCTCAGACTGTAGTCATACATTCTTTAAAAAGCAATGGCACATGGCCATTGATGGATTTCTTTGCATTCATCCAGTATGCTGCAGTATAAGAAACCTCAATTGGGCATTGCAATTTTTCTTGTAAAACGTTTTACTGCATTTGGCAAAATGCAGTTTTGTAGTTGAAAGAGTGCTATATTGATCTACTTTAAATGTGTTTAAAATCTAACATTTTAGAAATTTTAATGACAGTGATTAACATGGACAACAAGCGTTCTGTCTGAAAAGCTCTGATGCAGAACGCCACTTGCATTTTAATAAAAAAATAAACCATGCTGTTGTACAGATTATGCAACTTAACATATATTTGCTCTGTTATGACAAAAAGATGTTATCACTTTTTACACAATTGCTCTCTATTGTAGTATTTTTCTTTGACTGGATCCTGCTTTTTGTAATCACTTAATGAAATGCTTTCTCTGCGTATTTTTCATAACTGACAATGAAATGTAACCAAGGGCATCTGATCTTCATCCCTGAAGGCTGCCTCTCTGCAGGTTTTCATTCCAAATCATCTCTTAACTCTTAACAGCTGATTATTAGCTTAACTGAACAATTTTAACAGCTTCTCCCAGCTCTTCAGGTGCTGCTGCTTTAAGGAGACCATGAACATGTGCAGACATACCAGTCCTCCAGGACCAGGATTGGACATCACTGTAGCTTTGAGCTTTGGCTCACTGCTTTCTAGCATTTGGTATGTTTACACTTGGAATTAATCTGTTCTGTGCTTCAAGCAGTGATTCCATATATATCCTTTCTCATTCTAATTCTCTTAAAGTCTGTCTCATTTCTGCAGAGCTGAGCTTAAGTACAGCATATAATAAAATACATAAAGTACATATAGTCCTGTAGACAAAGTCTAAATATATATAGAGAAAAACACTGCAGACATTGCAAATTAAAATTATTTTCTCTTCTGTTATTGGTGAGATACTATATAGCCACATTTTGCCATTACTGGATGTACATCCGTTTAACTCCAAACAGATGTAGGCTGATCTTAATTATCACTTAACAAACGTATCTGAAACCCATTTACCTTCTCCAGCAATTGGCGGAGTTGTCTGCTCTTTGCATCTCTGGAGCAAAGATTTTGCTCTGGGGCTACCACTGTGCAAATACACCGTCCATCTGGGTCCTGGGCCGAGCTGTACACCTGCCAGCCTTCCTTTGGACCAATAGTCTAAAGAGAACAGAGTAAAAACAGAAAACAAAAACGCACAATGGCAATCATAATAAGAAATTTCAATTTTTTGTTTTTTGCAGAACTTTTTTCAACAATATTCTCTATATATGTGTGTATAGTACAGGGGACAGTACTTTTCCCACTTGTCTTACGCTATTCAACTTGTTCAGATTTTTTGACAAGTCTGAATACCAATCTATACTACCAAACATGACAGGGTGCATTAACTGAAAAGCAGATGGAAAAAAACGTAAGCTTTCTAAACACAAATCATACATTTATGAATGACACAAGAAAATCCATCAAACAAATCATAAGCTTTTTCAGTGCAGCTGATCACTAGTTTAATATTCTATACATTTTTAGGGTTTAAAGTTTTAAGGCCCTTAAGGTATACCTTAAAAACACCTTAAATCTTAAATGTATCTAAGGTATTCAGCACAAGTAAGACAAATGACATTATGCATTAATTTTCAGTAATAGGAACTGTACTATATTTCATATACAGTACAGTATTGAGTAGCCGAGAAATACTACAAATGACAGTTTTATATTTTGTTCACAAGAAGAACACTTTTGTGTTTTTTCTATGGTGGAGGGTTCATTACTACTATCACATTGAATTTGCAGTGACTAAACTGTCATGTTGATGTATTCAAGAAACAAGGAGAATGACAACAATTAAGTATGCAAGAAATACTGCTATATTCCTGTATTTCT